TGGTTTTGAACTGTTGCCCCATCAACCTAACTCATCACATGACTTTGATCCGTTTCCCAGACTGCACTGGTCGCCGTTTTCAGAGCGAAGATGAGGTCATGAATGCTGTTGAGGAGAATGAGGAGGCTCAAGATGTCCATGTTGAAAGATAATGCAAGAACAGTCTTTCTCCTGTGACCATTTATCAGCGAGGTCGAGAACTTTCCGAAGTACCCTCGTAGGATCCAGTAGTTTTGACCTATACGAGAAACCAAACCACTACATCCTCTTTTTATTCGATTCTGACCATTTGTTTTTCTCTTGTGAGTCCACTAAAACTATAGGATTGCAGTTTTCAAGTTTCCAAACGCCTCTTAAGTCTGAGTCATATCAATAATCCATGTTACTGAAGGAACTTGCAGGCCGTTTAAGGGCAACAGAATGAGTACCTGTTTCAGGGTAAGTTCTGCTAAACACCCTGACAAAACTGCTGAGTGGTTTTCAATACTCTCCTTCGGCAGTCTCCTCTCCAACAACTCCCATCAACAATGCAAAATTCATCACGTAGCCCAACAGAAACCCACCATTGTTCCAGCCCCTGCATGCTAATACTGGTCCAGTAGCCGCCGCTATTTGTTGTTGTTCTGTCACACTTAGCGCTAGCGTTGTGGTCACAGCTGTCAGATACTGTACAACATGAGCAGAGAGGCTAAAAGCCGATTAAGCCTCCTCATGTTCCACCAGTGCAAAGAAACCACTTACATACGGCGGAAAAGGAGAGTCGTCGGACCAACTTAAATGAATTGCGAACATGCAGTTCGATTGGGTTGAACCAGATTAAGCTAGCAAGTAATATTAACGCCACTGTTTCAAGCTAGGTGTAGCTATTCCTCACAGATTAACAGTTTGCATTGCTGTAGCTTAATTCAAAGAAAAGTCAGCTTAATTATTCATAAACATGTTTTTACTCAAAGAAAATGGCGACTGAGGTGCAGCAGAAACTCCGACGACACGCGGACGTCATGACTTCCACAATGCTAAAGGAGGCAACACTTTTCATGCGTTTGTTAAAATGATAAAACCGTTAAAAGGGGCAATTTCAGGCTGATAATACACCGCGATCGCTGTAGCAGGAAGAGATGTGGCATTTATTTAAAGCAGCACTTTACTCTGACATACACGTTTTATGCCTTGTGCCCCATTGTGGCCTCTGCTTTTCTACATTGTAGGTATTTTGATTCCAGTGTTATTCAGTGCAGAACAGCAATAATAATAATAATAATAATAATAATACATTTTACATGACAGTGAAGGCCACCGTACATCCAGTGGAGTCAGTGAATAGACGTACAGCAAGCAACAGAGCAGCAATGAGTTCAAATCTGTGAATGAAAGACGTTTTTGCAGTGACGTTCAGTTCCAATGATTAAGCATCAGAGCAGGTCTTAGCTCCCGATGCCGGTAGACGGATGAGGAGGAAGCGAAGGTCTGAAGAACATCTGCGAGATAGGCAGGTGGAAAGATTCTGAAATGTTAATCACAATATTTTGAAGTTAATCCGTCGTGACACGGGGGGAGAGCTTGAATCAGGAGAGGTGTGACATGCTCGGCGGACTTTGAACATTTATTAATCCGAGCTGCAGAGTTCTGGGATGAGTTGGTGAATAAGTTTGTGGGAGGATCACATTGCAAAGCGCTTCATGTGCGACGTGAACGAAGAATTGACTTCTGTGTGAGTGTTGTGTTGCAGCCGGGCGGCGTGTCGGAGAGATTCACAGACGAAACAAACACAATCCGGGAGATTTTTAAATGACTAGAGACGGAAAAGGTAGCGTCAGAGATAACACCAAGGCTCTTAACCTGTGTGGCGTATGGGGGCTTCAGTAATCGGAAGCAGCTGCTAGTTTTTAAAACTGTAGATTTAAATGACTTTGTACGAAAGCTGAGGCCAGTTTGATAGTCCTCGATGAATATTTTGCTGCAGAATCAAATGCATGACTTTGCATTTACAGTATATCTCATTTAGATGATAGATGTTTTAAGAGTGCCTGAAATGGTGCAACAAGTTTGTCCTGCATTTTACCTATAAATTGCTTTTAGGACTCTTTATGTTGAACTTCCCAACCACAAATATGTGCAAATCTTAGCTATGTTTACCCATGATGTCCTCTCAGTATAAGGTCTATTGTCTCTCTGGAGTAAAACATTATAATTGTCTTTCCTACCAGGTACTTCTTGGACAGCAAAGAGGAAGGAGTGCGGTACTTCCGAATCGACGAAAGCAGCGGACTTATACGTACGACGCAGCCTCTGGACAGGGAAGCCATGCCTTGGCACAACATCACTGTAATGGCCTCGGAGGTTGGTAGGTACCCAGCTTGCTTTTCATGAACCAAATGTTGCCAAGTTTGTGAGTAATGAGCCAAACAAAATGCACGACTTACGTCTGTCTGCTCTTTTTGTGAATATGCATAAAAGAGAAGAGGTAAAGCCAGCTGGGCTTCGATGGGGTTTTCTTAAAGAGCTTCTGTTGTGTGTTTTGAGTTTCTGTTTAATTTAGTTTATTTTGTCGCTTTTGTACATGCAAACATCTGCAGACTTATAAAGACCTTGAAGGAGCTATTCAATGCCACAAAAACACGGCCTGAAATGCCTTGTTTGAAGCCAGCCTTTTCTTCTGTTACTTGTTGACATCATCATGTAACACATTGACTTAGCGCCTACCTAGTGCGCTAGTTTAGCACGCCATCAAACATGATTTCCCGCCATTATTCCCTCGCTAGAGCTGTTTCTGCTCGCACCATAGCTCTCGGATTAATCTCGCTTTCGTCAGGCCAGCTGACCAATCAGAGCAGACCTTTAAGGAGAGTGGCCTTAAAGAGACAGGAGCCAACAGAGCGTGAGAAGAGATGCTGCAGCGATGTACATTATGAGGAAAAGAATGTGCTTTTGGAACATTAAATCATGTAACCATATTCTATTAGACTCCAAACATCAAGTTGTGGATCTGTAATTGAACATGATATGGGCTCTTTAAGGTCCAAACTTCTTGCCATGTTACTATGTTTCCTACGTCTAGACTCTCTCCAAGTAATCAAACTTAATTTTGCATGTTTTGTTTCATCACTAACATGATATAACAATTCAATTTTGTTGCAGTCCTCCAGTTTCAGCAGTCATATTTTACATTCATATTGACAGAAAAAAAAAGCAGATTTTATGGCTCTGTAGAAGGTAAATAAGCAGATAAGGAGGTACAAGCCTGCACCGCTCATACCGAGCTGTAGTAAACACAGGAAATGCAGCTGCCCGAAAGAGGCAGTTAAGAGATTGATCTTTCTCTCCGCGCTGCCTTTTGTTTAGCCTCAAGCTAATAGGAGACATTATAAATCAGAATTGCATTCAAATCACTGGCGTGTTCGGCGCCGCGACAGCATGATTTAAACAGTAGAAATTACAACAAAAAGAAGAAGAAAATACACACCATGTCCTGTAGGTCTGCCCTGAGTTGTATTTTTTTTATTTTTTTTTTCCCTGCTCTCCCACCAGATAACAAGACACCCTGAGGGGATCATATTGTCAGACAGCAGTCCAGGTTCAAATTCATAGAGGGTAAAACTGGAGTCAGAATCAATATCAACAAAGGAAAGGTTCCATAAAAGAGGAATGAGTGCATGAATCTGCACCGCACAGACTCCGACTAAGCAAAGCACGTTTTAAGTAGTGTTTATGTAGATGTATGGAGACACCTAAAACCTAATAATCCACTAATTACAGCAGAAAAAAAGCCCAAAACATGACGTGATTGGTTCATTTTCATTACTGGTGGTGACCAGTTAGTCAAATTTATTGAAGTAAATTCATATTTTAGTCATTTTCATGTCACAGAATTGGGTTTTTTTTAATTTGCAGAGAAAAATATGTACTTATTTGCTGCAAAAATCTTGATTTATTTCAATAATAATTGAAAGGAAACACATGGAGAACTTTTCACTAACAATTAGCAAGACAACTGCTTCAAGTTTTCAGCCGTGTTCAGCAGTTAACGAGCGAAAAGGTGCCGCGTTTTTAATACGCGTCCAGCTCTCAATACAGCGAGATGCGTAGCAAATAGCATTATTAGCAGCGGCGGTGCGGTAATCACTAACAGTATTTAAGCACAGCCCAGCGCCGAGTCATTTAATGGTGAAATTAACAATTAAAGTCTGAAGAAAACAAGGGTGAAGGATATCATTTGCATATTGATTAGAACGTATTCAAATAGGTTAGAGTGTATTTTCCTTATAATTAACTACAAAATCAAATTAGTCCCAATTGTTTCAATGTCCTCTCCTACATTGAAAATTAATTAAATCAATACAAGCCCCGCTAACTTCAGGAATTGCTATCAGGTAACTCGGGGTAATTTGTAATCACAATTAGGCAAATCTCTAGCCAAGCGACGGGGATGCTGCATGTTAATGTTTCCGTTATCTCCTCACCTCTCCTTAGCATTCAAGGATACAGTCGCGCGCCAAGACACTGTCAAAAAGGCAGAATGATAAATTTTTACCGCTTTGAATGAGCAAGGACGCGCAGTGTCATGGCGGGGAGACAAAGCACCCGGCGCGGCGCTCTGCGAAAGCCATCCTGCAGAGATGTTATCCTGCTTTCAGGAGACACACAATCCGCAGAGAGGAGCTGAATTAGAGAATAAGTGTAAGATTGAATTAGTGGGAGGGTTTTTTTTTTTTTTGCATACAAAAGCTTGAGGAATGTGTTATAATGCGGAACCTTAATTTAAAAAAAAGTACTGTATAGAATCCTTTGATGCAAAAAAAAGATTAAGTAAAGTAGAAGAATCTGGAGCCGTTGGTTTAATTGAAAGACGAGTGCACCTGTGTGGCTTCTTGCTTTCGCTGAGTAAGCATGCTATTTTTTTTTTAGAGCTCTGCTCGCGCCACACACGCGCGCCAAAAAAAAAAAAGAAAGAAAAACCTGGAAGGAACCCAACAAAACCTCTCCTCAGTCGGGGACCGAGGTGCCCCCGGGGTGGAGGGTTAACTACCTTGCTCAAGGGCACTTTATGTGGAGACAGAGAAAAATCATGTGTAGCATTTGTCTTGAACGCCCGAGGGTTTAGTGCAGCTCGACCTGCTGTTATTAAACAGAAACTGATGCATCTGAGACTCAGAATGATCACATTTATGCTGTAAATTTGACTAAAAATACAGATTGTTGATTTGGATATTCTGTGCAGGGCTTGGCAGTTTTTATTTATGTATTTATTTGTGTATTTCTTACAATCAGCATAGGATTTTGTTTCCCTTTTCTGTGGTTTTACTAGATATTATCTGTAACTTAAAACAGGGAAAATATGTAAACTAACAAGTTAAATAATAATGTACCATTTTTTAATCATGAATGTATATATTTTTTTCTTTCATACAGTGGTCTAAATCGGTAAAATAATCATAATTTTGCTGATTTTATAATATATGCACATTTCATAGGATCATATCTATATATTTAAGTTTATTATCTGTAATTAAAAACAGGGGATAATAATAATAATAAAATAATAATGTACCATTTTTTGATCTTGATTAGATCATTCTTATTTCACATAATGACCTAAATTGGGAAAATAATCATGATTTTGCTGATTTTATATGATTATATATTTTATTTTATTTTATTGTCTGTAATTTAAAACAGGGAAAATCTGTAAACTAGCAGGTAAAATAATAATGTACCAATCATCAGTCATGAATCTATTTTTTTCTTTTATAAATTGGCCTAAAATGGGGAAATAATCATAATTTTGCAGACTTTATAATATATGCACATTTTATAGGATCAAACAGAGAAAATCTGTAAACTTATAATAATTTACCAAGAAAAAGAAAACAAACAAAAAAAAGCAAATGTCTATTTCCTAAATATTAATTCTTGTTGTGGACTTTTTAAAAAAAAAAATCCATTGTAGTTTATGTTTTTACTGTTAACATGTAAATTTATATACTATTTTTCTTGTTTTTTTTTTTACAAGTTGTCATGTGTAATTTACCAAAACAGGGATACAGCCGTAAATTGTGGTTAAAAACTATTATTTTTTCTTTCTTTTTTTTTTTCTTTTCTTTTTTTTTTTACAGTGTAGTAGGAGCCACTTTCACACTTCAGACTTAGGAAGGTGCCCCAGGGGTCGAGGGTTAACTACCTTGCTCAAGGGCACTTCATTTGGAGACAGAAAAGTCATGTGTAACATTCATCCCAAATATTTATTGCTTTTGTGAGGCTCAGGGTGCCCGTGACAAACAGCAAATCTATGCATCTTCGATTAAACTGACAT